AGGCACTGCTGGAGAGGGGTCCTGTGGCCCGCCCTTCCTCAAAATGGGGACCTTTGAGGGGAGGAAGGGCTGGTCCCAGGCCCCCCTGCCAGCCCCGGCTGCTGCCACGGTAAGCACTCCAGATGGTCAGCGGTGCCCAGCAGGCCGCAGCCTGGGAGAGGTGGGTGCTGGGGAGAGCCCTTGGGGGTACAGAACAAAGGCTGCACAGCACCTGATGCCCATGTAGTACCAGCCACCTGGCTGCAGCTCCACCATAACTCCAGGTAGGGGCAGGGGGCCGGGGCTCATTGCTCAAAGCAGCTCCTGGTTGGAGAGAGGGAAGGGAGGTGGCAGTGGGGAGGCAGCGAGTTGCTCTTTCTCCAGGTCGTGCAGAGTTGGCACTGCCCAAATGCCCGCAGCAGAGGGGATCGGGACACTCAGAGGAAAGGCGGGAACAGGAGCAGCCACCACTCTCACTACACTCATCACATGCCTGGTGCTGTGCTACGTACGTTTCATACATTATTGCTGCTCTAGTCTCCACAGGCCTCTTTTGAAATCGGCATTAATGGAAACCCATTTTACAGATGGGAATACTGAGGTCTACAAAGTGACTTAACCAAGTCCACTCAGCTAGCAATTGGCAGAGCTGGGATTCAAATCCAGTGCGCTGGGCCCCCTTTGCTGTCTCACGGTGCCAGGCAGCCACATGGGGGAATCTCCAGGTCGCAGGAAGGGGAACAGAGCTACCTGCGGCTCCCTTTGGACGAGGGCCTCGGGCCACTGCTGCTCTGCCCCAGATGGCTATGGAAGGCACGGATGCCGCAAGCCCCCGAGAACACATGCCCACCGCTCCCGCCCCTGCTCCAGGGTAAACCCTGGGAGCACCGTCTCCCTGGAGGGCCCCTGCCTGCCATGCTGTCGGGAAGCCTCTTGGGTCTCCCTGTCGCACTGAGTTCCTGCTTCCTGGTGGAATGGCTCAGGGTTTGATGTTGGGTAAGACGTGTTTTCTCCCATTTCCCCCCTCTTGCCATCTCCCAACTCCAAACAGCACAACAGCATCCCGAGCTGACAGAGTTACTGGGCCCGGGGTGCTCTCTTCAGCTCAGGGCATTTCCCTGCAAGATGATCCCTGCTCAGCTCTCACATTACCTCCTGCCCCCGCCAGCACATCTGCTGCCGCCCTGCAGCCTAGCCTCGGGAGAGGGTGGGCATCATGGCGGGAAACAGTTGCAGCTGAACTCAGACAGGGTGCTGGGCCCCAGGACAGCCCTCCCCCCACGCCTCGCCTCATTCCCACTTCCCTTTCCCACGGGGGCCGCCTCCATCTGCTGCCTCAGGCACGTGCTGGACACACAGACGGTCTGCAGGGCTGGTCAGGGGGCACCAAAGCCTACATGCACCCCCTTCTCAGATGCCCGGAGTGCGCCACCTTTCCCTTCCGAGGACGCCTCTCCAATATCCGTGCAGGAAGCAAAGGCGCTAAGTTAGTAGCTGAAAACCTGTCTCTGAGGTCCCTCCGCTCCATGCGGGTCTGGGAGAGCCCAGCGGCACAGCTCTGCTTCAGAGGCTGAGGAGGGAAGACAGCCTCTCCAGGGAAGCACCTCCCGCGGGGATGCAGGCCCGTCACAGCCAAGGGCAGAGCACAGGCAGGAAGCCCGTCCAGGTCTCCTGCCCCTCCAGGACCTGGCAGCCCGTCGGGGGGAGGAGCTGCTTGGGCACATCCCTCTCTCCTCCCAGGGTCACCCTTGCTGACCCGACGCGAACACAGACATCACCACTGAGGCTCAGAGTCACTCACCGAACCCTCGTTGGGAAGAGAGGCAACCTGTTCTATGAGGATATATACTTGACGTGTGACCCCAGTCGCATGGCGACCCACAGACGGCAGCACATACACCTCCTGTCCCAGGCCCCGCGGCCACGCAGGGAATGCGGATAACCAACACAAGTATACAAAGTATACAAGTCTACAAAACATACAGAGTACACAAGTCTACAAAGCCTACACTCTGCCCACTCTACACTGGTGGTGAGACCGTATGGAAACATTACAACTACACCCCACAGCTGGCTACGTGCATTCTAGCCTGGCACATGCTAACATCCAAATTAAAAAAATATCAGAGCAGGTGAACCTACAGATGCCCCTCTCCCAGGGAGGAGCTGTTCAATTTACCAGACTAACCAGGAGACACGCTCAGGAAAAATCGAAGGGACATTCACACCTCCCTTGGGTGTTTTTTGTTTGTGATGAACAATGAACATTAGTCAGCTGATAATGGCAGTATCACAGACACAGCAGCTGGGGTTCACCCTCGGCCCCCGGCCCGGCCCCCTGCCTTGGCCATCACACAGGATGCTGGCCTGTGGGACCAGCCCGCTGGCACACACCGGGTCAGATAGTGGCCGCGTGCAGCACTGAGAAATGGGGAGAGGAAAATGAGCCAACACCCTGACACCCCACATTTCAAAGGAGCCCCCAGGACAGTGAGCTCTGCCCAGCTGCGGAGAAGGGGCAGGCTGTGGCCAGAAGGCCTTCTGAGGGTATGCATGACACCTGGGCAGTGTTTTCCTTCCAGACAAAAGGTTTGGGGAAGCCAATTAGGGAGGGTGTGGTACAGGTGGGACACCAACGCTGCACCTGCTCCTGAGGCGGGTCTCTGCCTCCTCCGGGCTCTCGGGTCCCTCTTGGGTGGAGCCCCGATGGCCCTCCTGCAGTGTCGGGCCTTTGGAAATGTCCTGTGTTGACACTCCAGTGGCCAGATTGGCGATGTTCTGAAGTCAGGGGCCAACCCTCCACCCGCCGCTCCCTGAGCCCCTCCCCCTGGGGGGCTCCTCTCCTCACCCCTCCAGGCTCAGGAGACCCCAGAGAAGACCCGGGCTGGGCGGCTGAGTCCCCTGAGGGAAGCAGCAGCAGGAAGGGCTGGGCGTGGTGGAGTGGGCAGAGGGGGCAAGGTCTGGACCTGCGGGCCTCAGTCCAAGTGTCAGGAGGGCCCTGCACATCCACACCCCTTCCCAGGGGCCAGGGCCCAGGCACTCCGCAGCCATACAATGACAACCAGGCCTGGAGCCCGCGAGCTCAGTGAGCGCTCTTCTGGCCCCGGTTCCTTCTCTGCATCCCACCCCTCCATCTGGACTTTTGGTGTGTGGAGGGGAGTGTCCATGCTCGAACTGTGACACTGTTCCCTCTCTGCTCCTCCTTCCTGAGTTGGGTGGAGCAGTAGGGCAGGCCTCCAAGCCCCCAAAGCAGGAATTACTCACTAGGCACCCCAAGTCTGGGGGAAGACATAACCAAAGGAGGTGAGCATGGGGGTGAGTGGCTCCCCCTCCCCTTAGGGGACCCAAGGTTAGGGTAGGGGTCTCCTCTGGCTGTGCTCGGGTGGGCAATATGGGGTGAAGGGTTCCCAGGGTCGGGAGAATTTCCTGGCTGCTCCCCAAGGAGGCTCAGTGTGAGAAGAGACCCTCATTCCCTCCAAGGGAGGAGGGAGATGGGGGCTCCATCAAGCCCCTGAATGGGCAGAAACGCCTACCTATATGTCCAGGAATTTCCCCTCCCCCCACCTAGCAGGGAGCACCCACAGGCCCAGGAGTGGGGGCACCGGCCTCCACAAAGTGCTTTAGGTGCCACTGGCCACTCCCCGAGGTTGTGAGGCTCGGGCAGGGAGCTGGCGGCAGACGAGGCACAGACAGGAATGGCGCGGGTTCCTGCCTTCCCGGAGGGTACCCCAGCCCCGAGGTCGGCGGCCAGGCTGGGTCCCGGGAACCACCTGCCCCTCGGGAATCTCGCCTCGGTGGCGGCCAGCGGCGCCCGCGATCTCAATCCCGCCCCCTGCCCCCAACGCCCATCCAGCCACAGCGGGGGTGTCTCCGGGTTCCTCCCGGGGAACCCCCACCCCCAAGCGCTGGAGTCCCAGCTACCCCGGGAGGCGCGCGGCTTCCCCAGGGACGCGAAGGGTTAAACCCAGGCGCGCGGACTCGGTGGGATTAGCCTCCTAAACGCATTTTCCAGTCCATTCCCGGCACTGAGCGTACAGGCGAGTCCCGGCCTCCGCCCCCGTCCTCCCCGTGCCGGGCGCC